GGACTTTGGTTTGTTCCTTTAGTTTTGTGTGTTTTCAGTTTACTATTTAGTTGTAGTTTTCTGTGAAAGTCTTTGTCAGGTCAAGCTCCTTAGTAGTTCTTGTTTCGTTGTTCCGTATTGGCTTTATTTTATTTGACTAAAAACTGTACCTCAGTCTGTGTATGCCTTAGGGTCCTCACTAAATCTGAATCTAACAGTAATGATTTATATACACCAGGACTGGAAGTCTGGACTCCAGTCTGATTCCGGACCCAGCCCACACATCGTATTAGGAATGAAATAATACATTGTAATGAAATGTATGTTTCCCACTTTAGGGGGAAAAAAAGAGAATTTCTAATACTTTAAATATAACTTGTTAGTTTTGTAGAATATACTCTAGAAATTGTTACAGCGATCCTAGCCTGAGATTAAGGCTAAACATGGTTTCCCTGTTTTCCATCGTTGTCATGGCAACATTGACGGCTGACGAGCTTATGACATTTAAGTTCAACAACTGACAAAGCTAAAAGGTCTGTTAAAAGGTACCAGTTTATAATTCACTAGTTAGCTAATGGCTAACAGGCATTCATGTTTTGTCCTGCAGGCACAAGAAAGCAAGACTTCAGCATCTTCTCGATGTGTATATTACATTGCCAATGCAGTAAGGATGTCTCTATTTAACTGGGGAAAATTTTAAAAAAGCTGACCAAGAAAGCCAAGATGAATGGACTGAGAGATGGCATTCATTTTGCCTCAATTCAGCACAAGGCCCCAGCAAAACATCAACAGTTAATCTTCCTATGAATCAGTAAAGTTGTTTGAGATCTATGACACAGCAAGAGGAAGCTACTGAAGCCTCAAACAGTGACATTTTTCTACTAGGCTTGAATATATTTTGTCTCTAAGCTTTAAACTTGAATGTACACTCACTATCCGCTTTACTTACAGCTGTACATTGTATGCAATTCAGTACAACACTTCCACCTTATGAAGCTCAGTGTTTCAGTTTTTGTTAAAATTGTCATAAGTGCATAAATTCAATTAAATGTTTATTATTGAGGTTATAGTTAAAAGTGGTGTTGTACTAGAGTGTTGGTGTAAGGATACATTCATGGATGCACTGGGACACATGCATGATCTTTCCTGAGATTATGGGGTGTATTTGGCCTCGCAAAACATCAGACACCATCCCTGTCAACCCAGGCAGGACCAAGCCTCATCCTAGCCCACCTCTCTGGCTCCCCTGGGTGTATGTTTCTGTAGCTTGGTTGGGTTCTTCCTAATGGAAGATGCAGGTTGGGCTGCTACCCTTTCTTGCCCTGGCTGTAATCTGTGTTGTCACCAAACTATTCTTGATTGTCAAGCAGTTTGTTCCCGGGAGGTACTGGCAAAGCCAGTTTATATGGTGTATGAATACAACCATGAATGGGCTGGGACACATCAGTCATGTTTCCTAGGGTTATCAGGTGTTATGGGTATCGCAACATCAGACACCCACACTCAGGTAACCCAGCTAGGGTTGATCAGGGCCCAACTTGTGTCCCAGTAGCACTGACCCACTTCTCAGACTTATCCAAATCCACCTCTAGAGGCTCTGTTATGGACTTTGAGGCTCTCCTTATTGTAGCTCCTATGATCCGGAGAAGGGTGTAGGTCTTGCACAAGGAGGGGGCAGCAAATCATCCACATCCCACTTTTATGGCCTCACAGCGAGCTTTTCAGCCCCTCCCCCGGCACTCCTCTATGAACTTGTAGTACCTGAGCCACTTGAGCTCATTCAATTATATTTGTATAGGGCCAAATCACAATGAAAGTAGTCTCTGAATACTTTACAAAGTAAGGTCCAGACCTTGCAATTATTATTATAGAGGGAAAAACCCAATAAATCCCTCTTACGCAAGCACTTGGCAGACCGTGGGGAGGAAAAATCTCTAACAGAAGCAATCTCCAACAGACCCCAGCTTTTGGTGGTTGGCCTTCTGCCTCGAAAGGTTGGGGTGAGTGGATAGAGAGAGAAAAGAAAAGAAACGAGACACAATGAACACTGGTCAGGTTGATGTGGCCGTTGACTGCTCATCAGAAATGTACAGCTTCAGAGCTAGGACTACCTGCAGGAAGGTACAGGGAGAGAGAGGACACAGTGACACATAATGGTGGCATATAAGTGCACAGAGAGAGAGGTGAGGAGAGGAGCTTAGCATCGTGGGACAACCCTCAGCCTAGACCTATAATTAAGGGATGGTACACCAAACCAAATGTCCTAAAATGCATGTCCAATAATTTCATAGACACCGCTACATGAGCACAAGCAAAGGCTGTCCTGTTGGCTAGAAACCACTGGTATGGTTAAATATGCTCAGTGGCAACAGGACGGCACAGGCCCTCTTGTTTGCTTGCAGTTACCAAGATGCCTGTCAATATTATCCCTGTTCAGCCACATTAGTTGTTATGATGTCATGAAATATTGGAAAACATATCAACATACTAAGTACCTTTCTACCCTTTCTCACTGAAGCCACAAAGGAGATTATTCTCTGGCTGCAGGTGTGCCTGTAGTTGGCCGCTGCACTGGCTTCAGCACCTGGTCACACTGGCAGTGGTAGTGTCCCTCTCCAAGGGCCAACGGGTAGCTGCTTAAGATGTGGTCCAGTGTACCCTTTCCAGGGTAAAGGGGCTATTTTGGAATGTCACTCTTGCCCCCAGACATGTGGATTAGGTGGGCTGGGTAGGACAGCATAAACAGACGAAATCATGAACTTGATGTGCTGTGGTTCTGCCTGCCACGTGTCAATCTAGGTCAGGTTCCTCTTCCTCTTCAGCGCTCCTTCCCACCTCATCCACACGCCCTGCAGCCGCATGGTCACCATCCTGCTGGTCCTCTCCTCTTCAACACCTGCCTTCACCTCCTCCAGGACTAGATGGTGTCTGTCCTTGCCATGGGCTTTATCGTACCATGGCTGTGGGATGGCTCCCAACCCTACTTGCCAAGCTGCCACAGTGCCCATCAGAGCTTTGTATCTCAGCCAAGACTCTGCCAGCTTCAGCCTCTCTTCAACTCTTCACTTCTTCCCTGTCAACACCACTCTCTTGTGCAGGAAACTCTGAACTCCTTCTCCAGGCTACTGATAAGAAGCTGAAGTTTATTGCTCCTCCTGTACAGTGCTGTGCTACTGAGACCCCACCATCTTCAAAGATGGCCACTGTTGTTTTTCTCCTTGGTCTCTACTGTAGACAGTCACTTCATACACCAGCAGAGGCCAGAGGACAAGGGCCTTGACCGCCAAAATCTGATCAGATCTATTTTGCATCCAATGGATGTTTGTGTCAATTTTGAAGAAATTCCCTCAAGGTGTTCTGGAGATATTGCATTCATGAGAATGGGCCAGACAGAAGACATACGAATGAACAGACAACCCAAAAACATTCAAAAAAGAGTCATGGTGAACAGCACATATCAAAAGCCACTGTTGCTGGACTCTAGTACCTGTGCCTAGACTGATTATTGGCATTGTACACTGCAGGAGAGGATGGGATATTAGACATTCTGTAGAAAGTGTGTTATTAGGCAAATAGAATGTAATCAGTGCCTTGTCCAACATGTGATTCATTGTAATGTCTTTTTAAAAAGTCCGATTTTGGTGTGGCAGACATGTGAGTCATATTGGTCAAGCAGGTCAAAGACCCCATAGTACTTGGATATAGTGCAACTTCTTTTAGCAGTGTTTACACATTTTAACTTCCTTTAAAAACTTTTGATTTTTTTGATTTGATTTATTTATTCTTTCAAGCATGTAAAGACAGTTGATATATCAACACACATAATTTTACACATATCCAATAAATGCTAATCCAATATCAATTTGCTTATACCTAGTACATGCTTGAATGGAGTAGGAAGAAGTCAGACTTATCCAGTCCT